CACTCTGACCAAGAGAAGCTCCCCGCCAGCTAGCCATTGTAAAGCTGCACGCGTTCCATCTGCCTTACAGGACTTTTATTTAATTAACAAGTCAGTATAAAAACAAACCCCAAACCCCGACTACATAGTAGTTGCATTCTGGAAAAACCTCCATTTTGAAAAAGAAAAAAAAAAAAGGAAGAAGAAGGCAAACCCCAAAGCAGCAAGCAGCAAAGGCTGCCTCAGTCCTTAGCTGCTGCTAATAGAAGCAGCAAAACTGTCAACCCAATCAGGTCTTGGTTACAGCCACTGTGCTGCAGTGAGAAGGCATGGGGAGGCCAAGTGAATCCAAAAATCTGTCTGATGAAGGAACAGATGGTACTGAGGACCCATGTTAACAAGCAGTTTCTAGTTCACCTGCCACCAAAGGAGACCTGCTCAGATAGGACCAAAGTCAATACCCGGATAGTCTTTGATGTTACTGACATGCAGAGATGCTAAAGGCGTGAAATGTTGGAATCAAGACAGGTCAGGAGGTCAGACAACCCACAGATTTCCTACACAGCAGAAAGAAGGGGGCCCCGGCAAAAAAAAAACCCAACTATACAACAAAAATCTTTCTTTAGGCAACTGTTTTTCCATCCCATGAATCAGGTTAAGAATACAGTGACCCAACTGCAAGTCTCTTCATCAAGCCTTCCACGTTCCCATAGCAGTTTTAGTTTCACCTGTGCCACCGGTTCCATTCCCAACAATGTCAGGGAGAAAGGCACCCAGGCCTTGACCCCCACCCCAATCCTCCTAGTCATAGGTGGATTCTCCCTAGGGCTGTGTGCCTTCTCCCCTGACCCCTGACTATAACAAGGGATGAGACTCTTAAGAATTACGGAAAACTCATATGAAGAGAAGATCTCAGTCTACAGGCTGGGGAGTGATCAGTTCTGTGAAATGCAAAGTCAGGGTTAAGGTCCAAAGTGACTTTGGGAAGATTTTTATCATGACGTTAGAAAAAAGAAAAAATGTCCAAGTTGATTGAGTAGAGGAACTGATTATTCACGTGAATGAAGGCAGGGAGAGGAGAAGAGGAGATGAGACAGACAGGACACCAGGACTTGAGAAGTCTGAACCTGGACTTGCAGGAAAGAGACTGCAGGGGTTGGGGGTGGCAGCCGCACAACAACCTGGGTTTCTAAGCTTTACCACGAGCGGCATCTCCAGAATGCTGCCTCCCCGTGTGAGGCAAATGGTGAGACAGGGCCTCAGGGCCATGGTCCCTCTGAGCAGGGTCTGCAGACCTCATTCCCAAGCCCCAGGGGAAGATGAAGCCCAGCTCACTGGACAACACTCTGGTTCTCCCACCCATCCATGGCTGACCTGGTTTATGAGGTTAAAATAGCTCTTGGCTGGAGGCACACAGTCCAGGTTTGAATCCTAGCTCCCGCATTTACAAGCTGTGAAGCCTGTAGGCAAGTTCCTTATTCTCTACGTGCCTTAATTCCTCGTCTATAAAAATAAGGGTAACAATAGTTTCCTCACGGGGTTGTTGAGGAGTAAATGACACGATATTATTTAAAGCACTAAAAACAGGGTCTGACACGTAGTAAGCACACAATAAACGTTAACTATTATTTATTGTTTCTGTTGTTGTTTAGATAGCTGCAATTCTCATCAAACTCTCCTGGTGGGGGGATGGGGGGGAATTCCTTCGAAAACAAGATTTGAGACCCACTCATCTAGAGGCCTCTGGTAGAACTTATTATAAAGCTTTTTAAGAGCCTTTGTTTAAGAAGAACCCTTGTTGCCATGCACAGTTGGAGACACCTGAACTCAGGGTGCTTAATGGGGCACAGAGTAGGAGCTGACACTTACTGCAAACTGACGACACGTCAGACGCTCTGACACGTGCTTCCCCTCCATTCAGCCTGCCCACCCCTCACAACACCTGCAGCAGCAGGCACTACTACTGTTGTTATCCCCATTTGCAGATGAGGGAACTGTGGCCCAGAACCCGCATTTGCAACCGGGCAGTCTGTCTTCAGAGCTTATGCTTGGGCCCTCAACACTATACACAAGGCCAATTTTTTGCTTTCAAGTAAGATGACAAAAATAACAACAGACATTAAGTGCTTAGTGAGAAGTCACTATTTCTAGAAATGAAAGAAGAGTATAGATGACCTCTGGGCATGTGTTGTGAGGCAGTGGTTAACTAAAGCAAAAAACTGGGGCTGGCTAACTCTGTTCCTGGCAATTCAGTCAGTCAGTCAGTCTGTCAGTCTCAAAGTCCTCAAAGACTTCTGGAAAGTCAAGGTGGACACGAGGGAAGGAAGGTCTGGAAAGACACAGGTCAGCATGACCTGGTCCCTGCCGCAGAGAGGCTTCCAGGCCAATGTGGGGGACAGACCTGTCAACCAATCAGTACAGAGCAGCTGGAAAGCACCCTAGTGGTGCTGCCAGGCCTGAGGAGACCTGAGGGGAGCAATCCGCCAGTCAAGAGGATTTCCCACCTTTCCTATTCATCTCCACTTAAACACTTCCAGACCCACGAAGAATGGGGAGATGGCCATCCTTCAGCCCCCTGGCTCCACCTCCGCTCACTCCCTTCAAGGGATGGGAAGCAGTCAGCCAGGATTTCAATTCCCTCATCAAATCACAGAAACTTGGGATTTGGGAGTTACAAGTGACTCTTCACATTATCAGTCCAATATTCTCATTCAGAAATGTGGAACTGAGGATGAGAGAGGGAAAGATAAGAGACTCTTATGAGCAGGTTGCCACTTCCTGGTCCAGAGCCCTCACTGCCACCACCCTCAGCTAGCTCAGCGACATCTGGCTCATACCAGCTGCTCTCCAAGCCCCAAGCCTGGGGTGAAGGGGGTCAATGGGGAGAATTCCCACAGCGTGACCAAGGGGCAGGAGGCAGCCAATACTCCCAGCCAGGTCCAAGCACCTGCTTCAGAACCAGTCTCACCTCCATCATCTCGAAGACGCTCTCTGGGTCCAGGCTGCCCTTTCCCACTTTCCTCATGCATGTCACAACTCCCTTGCTGGTCACGGACACCAGCAAGCTGGCCAAGGAGCAGGCCTCCTCCTGAAGAGTAGCATCCACCACGTGCCGATAACCAATCTGCAAAGTCAGGCAGCAGTGCACGTGCGTGGGCAACGCACATCCCAGATCCCCACTTTTGAGAGCCTCATGGAGGGAATATCTACACCAGCAAAGAACCTGTATCTCCCATTTGGGTCTTATTTTAGTTCCTGCTCATATGGAAAATATTTGAAGTACCGTTCGACCACTCTATCACAGGCTACTGTGTAACCAGTGTAACAGAAGCATGAAATGGAAATATGGGGTAGGGGGAAGGGTGGTTGGCATTATAATTCAGAGACCTTCCAAGTCAGAGGCCAACCAGGGGGTTTCTAACAGGCCCCTGGAAGTTTCACTGATGACAAAGATGAATCAAGAGGGCCCATGCTAAGGGACAAGCTCAAGAATGAGTCAAGGGCAGGTGGCTCCAGTCGTCCCAATGCTTCACCAGAGCCTGGGTGAAGCGATTCTGGTGGAATTAAACCCGACCAGTTCAGTCTGATTTTTATATAACGAATCCTGCGTGGAGTCAGCGACAATCTCAGCCAAAACAGGCCTCTTTGCACAGCCTTGGGAGGTGCAAGTTACACATCAGCATCAGCCAGGTGTTATGCTCCACAGGCCTCAGTGCTAATGGAAAACCCACACTTGTATTAGACACCCAGGCCCTGCTTCAACCCCCTTATTTCATAGATGGGGACATTAGGGCCACAGAGGGGACAGTGTCCACCTTTCAACCACCCTTTTACTACTCAAGCAGCATAGACACCATAGAGTTGAGAGAATTAAAGGAAATATGCATTCAGGGTGTTTTGGTGAAATGCCTGGTAGGTAGAAGGGGCTTAGCAAACTCTGGCTACTGTTACTATGAACCCACTCGTGTGCTCCTGGGACCAGAGCCATTATCTTCCAGTTAAAAAGAAAAGAAAGAGCTGCTCATGGTAGTGGTCTCTAATATAACAAAATTATTTGATTTGGGTTAAGACTACTATATGGGTTGTGAAACTATAACTTCTCAATCTATTAGGTAACCTTAACGGGTTGGGGTTGAAGGAGATCCACAGGGAAGACAAAAACCATGAGATATAAGCTCATACTTTGCACAGGGTGACGATACAGGGGACATTCTCCACACTTAGCTGGATGCAGTCATAGGGGTCGTCAGACAGTTCAATGTCCTTCAAGCCCTCTTCATCTTCCAGAACACGAACTCTTGGTATCCTAGAAGCAGAAGCACAATTAAAATTCCCACTAACTGAAAGGAAGGATGATAACTTCTTTTTCTTGAGTTGGAATCCCTGTGCCTCACAAGATGAAGTCATGGTATGCCTGAGCTCCGTGTCAGCCCTGCCAAAAGTGTACAAGTGACACTGAGTGCAGTGAGGAAAGGAGGTCTTTTAAAAAAGGATGCTAGGGAGGGACTTCCCTGGCGGTCCAGGGGTTAAGACTCCACGCTTCCACTGCAGGGGACCCAGATTCGATCCCTGGTCAGGGAACTAAGATCCCGCATGCCACATGGCCGGAAAAAAAAAAAATGATGCTGAGGAGAGGGAAAGGGAGAGGGGCTAGAAAGAGGTAGGGGATTAAGAGGCATGAAGTACTATGAATGAAATAAATAAGGTACAAGGATATATTATACCACACAGGGAATATAGCCAATATTTTATAATAACTTTAAATGGAGTAAAACATATAAAAATACTGCATCACTATGTTGTACACCTGAAACTACTATAATACTGTAAATGACTGATACCTCAATAAAAAAATAAATTTAAAAAATAAAATGTAAAATGATGCTTAGTCAACCAGATATCCAAAAATGAATCCCGATCCCGACCTCTCACCATACACATACCAAATGGACTGCAGATGTAAAGGTGAAAGATAAAACAATAAAGCTTTTATAAGAAAAACTAAGAACATTTTCAAGACCTTAGAGTAGACAAAGATTTATTGAATAGGACAGAAAGTACTCACTGTAAAGGGGAGAAAAAAAATAACAGATTCAATTATATTATAATTGAATACACACACACACACAGGCACATCTTGGAGATACTGCAGGTTTGGTTCCAGACTATGGCAATAAAGTGAGTCACACGAAGTTTTTGCATATAAAGTTATGTTCACACTATAGTGCAGTCTACTAAGTATTCAATAGTATTTTATCTAACAAAAAACCAAAAAAAAAAAAAGACAATGCACATACCTTAATATAAAAAGACTCTATTACTAAAAAATGATAACCATCATCTGAGCCTTCTGCAAGTCGTAGTCATCTTGCAATGGTAACATCAAAGATTACTGATCACAGGTCACCATAACAAATATATGAATAATGAAAAAGTCCAAAATATTGCAAGAATTATCAAAATATGACACAGAGACATGAAGTGAGAAAATACTGCTGGGAAAATGGCACTGATAGACTTGCTCAACGCAGCGTTGTCACAAACCTTCAATTTGTAAAAAACGCAGTATCTGCTAAGCACAATGAAGTGAAGTGCAGTAAAACAAGATTTGCCGGGTTTCCCTGGTGGCGCAGTGGTTGAGAGTCCGCCTGCCGATGCAGGGGATGTGGGTTCGTGCCCTGGTCCGGGAAGATCCCACATGCCACAGAGCAGCTGGGCCCGTGAGCCATGGCCGCTGAGCCTGCGTGTCCGGAGCCTGTGCTCCACAACGGGAGAGGCCACAACAGTGAGAGGCCTGCGTACCGCAAAAAAAAAAAAAAAAAAAAAAAAAAAATCAAGATATGCCTCTCTGTGTGTGTATAATATATATTAAGATTATGAACTTCTGTTTGTCAAAAGGCATTATTTGGGGAATTCCCTGGTGCTCTAATGGCTAAGACTTCATGCTCCCAGTGCAGGGGGCCGGGATCAAGTCCTGGTCAGGGAACTAGATCCCACATGCCACAACTAAGAGTTCACATGCTGCAACTAAAAATCCCGCATGCCGCAATGAAGATCCCACGTGCTGCAACTAAGACCCGACACAGCCTAAATAAATAAATAATTAAAAGGCATTATTTGGAAACTAAAAGATAATCCAGAGTGGAGAAAATATTTCTCTCTGTGTGTGTATGTGTATATAAACTAACATATTACATAAAGAATTCCTACCAAACATAAGAGAAAGTCAACACGACCCAACAGAAAAATGGGCAAAAGACTTCAACAGGAACTTCATGAAAGAGGCTATTCACATAGCCAATAAACATACTGGCTATGTTTATTGCCAGAAAGGTGCTCAACTTAAATATTCATCAGGGAAGTGCAAAGTAAAACTAAAATGTGATACCAAGATATACCCACCTGGACGGCTAATACTAAAAACACAAAAAGAAATCCAAGGGCTGGCAAAGATGCAGGGCAACTCAGACGCTATACACTGCTAATGGGAGTATCATTTGGTAAAAGCACTTTGGAAAGCTGTTTTGCATTACCTACTAACATTATCTGCAATAGCTCAAAACTGGAAACTACTCAGATCCATCAACAGAAGAATGGATAAATAAACTGTGGCATATTCACACAGTGGAACACCCTACAGCAAAAAGCAAAGTATGACTACAGGCCACAATACAGATGTCTCAAAACATAATGCTCAGTGAACGAGGCAGACATAAAAGAGAAAACACTGCATGATTCCATTTATATCAAGCACCAACCAATCTATTGTTTTAGGACTGTGGTTATCCTCCGTGGGTATAGCGACTTGCATGGGGGTACAGGGTGGGAGGGCTTCTGGGGGGCTGGCAGTGTTCTGTTTCTTGAGCTGGGTGCTGAAAATATATTTGAGCCATAAAGTCAGTTCATTCCAGTGTGGGGTGGAGCCAGGAAGGAAGAGGTGGTCCAGCCAGCTACTGTTATAGAAACAGTGTTGGTGCTTTTCCCTGTGCCTCTAACAAAAGACCCTTATGATTCAGCCTGCTGGCCATCCCTACACAAGCCAACGTCCAGAGCAAAGGAGTTTCAGCCAGAGAATGTCCACAAGGACTAAGGAGTCCTGCCAGGGTCTGCCCTGGATGAAGTCTCCATGTCAGGGGCCCCCAGGGTGTAAGTACTAAGTAATATCCTATTTGAACAAATCAGGTAACCAGTTTGAATTTTGGCATGGTATAAAATAAGCGTACACACACACACCCACACCCCTTCCCAACCCTCTGGCCACAATATGGTTCAGCAGAAGGGCTAGAGGATACTGTCGAGAGAATGGCCTCTACCCTTCTAAAAGGCCCTGGCTGTACCAAAGGTCTCTCCATACACTAGAGGGACCCAGTGCCTTGCCGAGTCCGCATCCCTTGCTGCCCGCTTCTTGCTCTGGGAATGAGACTTGCAGCTATGGCCATGACAGGTGTCCTCCCCATCCTGAGCAGCTGGGTTTATCATCCTGATGTACAGTTTGCCCAACACCTCCCCCACAGCCAAACCGCCTCATCTGGTTCTACTCTCCCTTTTTGCCCTGGTGCCCATGGAAACCAGCTGGCAGACAGGAAGTAATTTCTGACGCTTGAGGTACAACAGATGGCGACTTCCTTTCTTCTCCAAGCCCAAGCCCAGGCTGCTGCTGATGGCATCTGGTACTTGAGCCCTCACAGTGGCCACAAGTGCCAGGCCCACCCTTGACTAGTGTCAGCCAGGAGTCTAGTGGCACAGCTAGGGTTAAGGGACTCTATAGCTTTCATTCTCAGCAAATATTCCATCCCGCAATTTCTGACCTACATTCATTTATCTTTGTTTTTGTTTGTTTTGTTTTAAATTGTGCAAGTAGTCTAAATTCACCACAGAAAAACTCTAAAATACAGATAAATTTTAAATCACCCATGATATGAGCACTGGAAAATAACCACAATGACCATCTGGGGATATATATATTTACAGACATACTAAATATGCTGCTGTGTAGATTTCAATCCCCTATGTTGGGACATTCAGGTTGTTTCCAACTTCTCATCACTACAAAGAAGCTGTGATAAACATCTTCAAATAATATCTTTGCTCACTTATCCAATTAATTCCTTAGGCTATATCCCTAGAAGTTTTAATCCTCATTTTCAAGTACCCCAGGACCCCCCATTACCATAATGTAAGCTCTCTCATGGAATGAACACCCTCCTCCACATATTTATTTTCAAATGCTGCAAACTTTCCTCAAAGAACCTTGTGCATAGAGAAGGAAAAGGCCGTATCATCAAACAGTCAGAGGGAATGTCAACTCCAAGAAAGCTTAGTGCCATGTCCTCTGCTACACAGCCTGTCTGGGAAGCTGAACCACAGTGGCATCATCATTTCCCGCTCTTAACTTAAACCAAACAGCAGGCTGCTACCCTGCTTTGAGAACATTCACGTGTCCAATCAAGGAGTATGTGTCAGGCACTGTTTATGGCGCTGGGGAGACAGCAGAGTACAAAACAGGCAAAACCCCTGTCTCCATGGAGCTTTATCTAGTGACAGTATTTGGAAAACTGACTGTGTCTCTGGTTTCTACTCTTTTTGCTGCTCTGTAGTTTTCTAATATTTTTCTATATGGTACATGTTTACTTATGAAAATAATAATCCAAAAAAATAAATACAGAAATATATTTAGTTACAACTTATAAAATCTGTTTTCTGAAGCTTAAAATTAAATACCACCATTGTCAATGCTGAAACCCCTTGTTATCTTCTCCTACGAGCTCCAGTAGCAGTGCCCTCAGTGGTTCATCACAGGTGGCTGCTCACGTTCTCCACGGGCCCAGGGGACTGTTTCCAGGAAGGCATACCTTGTATTGAAGAGCGCAGCCTTTACAGCAATGGAGATGGCATCAAACAAATTTCCACCACATTCCAGGAGCTAACGGAGACGGGGAGTGAGGGGGAGAAGAAGAAGGTAGCATCATTTGTTACTTTAAGTATTATCCCCAGTAAAGGACACTGGTTCCTGAGAAGTGCCAACCAAGTGTTTACAAAGACAAGAACGCGTGGCTGCTCTCCTGGCTCACTGACACACACTGGCTCTTCACCCTAACCGCACGCGCTGCCTTGTTGCCCTGGCTGTGGTACCACCACTCAGAGGCCTCAGCCTGTGGTGCAGCTCCTCAGCCAGTCAGGCCTGCACTGAAGGAGGAAATCATCACCTGCGTTTTGCCCCAGGTAACTCTCAGTTGCACTTGGCAAGTGTTACTCTCATCTTTGCTAACATATGCCTGGCCTCCAAACAAGTAAAAAATGGTGGCCACTGATGCTGCAGCTGCCACCAGGGCCATGTTGATTAGTGCAGTTACTACTGCACGTAATTACCTATGTACATCTGATGCTCAAACACCTAACACTCCCTGTTCTACATTAAGCGTAGTAACAACTAAGGTCTTTCACACGTTTTCGCCCATGAGCAAAAGTGTAGACTGTACTCGTGCACTCATTGAACAGGGAGGGTTACAGCGCATTATTAAGAGGAAGGCAACACATCCTTCTTCCTTATTTTAAAGAAGCCTTGGCCTGAGTTATGGAATAAAGCCAACAGGAAGAGAGGAGAGGAAGTCACGTGTAGAAAGAAAAGTTGTGTACGTCCGTGTGTGTTTGTTTATAGAGTCTATCTCCTCTTCATCTGAACTGTCAACTCGTGAGGCTGGACCCTGTTGGTTTTGTTCATTCCTTTATCTTCAGAGCCCAGGAGGAAGGGCTGCTGGGAAGGAGGAGCCTGGTGATTATGGAAGACAGGCAGGCCCTAAACCCAGGCCTTCCAAACTCTACTAAGAATCAACAACCACACCTGGTATGTCTCATGCACTTCATTCATACCCAGTGCAAACTCTAATTCCCGTCTTTAAGCTTTCTGGGCAAACCTCCAGTGCAGACACCATCTTTCCTACAGCCTGGTATAATTACTGCTTATTAGAATATGATCTCCCAGCCTGTATTACCAACTGGCTTTGTAACTGCAGTTTGTTTGTCTAGCAACTGGACTAGCTCTCCTGTATCCTGGTTCAAGTACAGACTACAGCACGGCCCCCACCTCTGGCTAGACTCTTGCGCCAGACAGTCTGGTTTGATTCCTATCTTTGCTGGGTAACTGAATAACCCGGGGTGGGACCTCACATCTCTGGGCCTCATGGAGGGTGAAAGTCACACGATCTCCCAGAAGTGTTGAACAACTTAGTATCTGTAAAGCCCTTAGAAGTGTGTCTGGCACATAGTAGGCGTCAGCTAAGTGTTTTAAGATAAATACTAATTTGCTCTTTCATCTTCCCATTGTTGTCCTCACAGACTGTCTGAGTGCATCTGCATGTTCTCCATCTTCCCTGTTGACAGCCCAGGTTCCTAACCCTGGCTGTGCAGGGTCAGGGAGCTTATTAACAATGCAGGGTGAGGGCCTGGAAACTGCTTTTTACTCCAGGTCCTAGGTGGTCCTGATGACTGGCCAGGGGTGAAGACCACCGTTTTACACTCTGCTGCCCACAGTATCTGCTTTATGCAAGGGAAGTGCTAGATAAATGCTGACGTCTGCTCTAGCAGCTGTGAGGCCTCCAAGCTGGAGAGGACTTGGAGAGCACCTCGGCCAACCCTTCCCTGACAGGTGGGCTCAGGGGCCTGCCGGCCAGTCAGAGCTCTTTCTACTGTCCTGCACCACGTCCCATTAAGGCCAGACACAAACACTGGTTTTCAACATTCTGGCTTATCACCAAAAGATGAAATCGAGAGGGCAGAATGCTGAACCCTAAGTATCTGCTGAGGGGCCCCCGAAGGGCAGGCACCCAACTCCAGGCCTCAGCTTGCCTGCCTGGCTCCTCACAGGGTACCGCACGACAAGGAACCCAGGCCGGGCAGCGTGCGTCTGACACTCTTCTCGGCCGCTTGCTGGCCAGGTGTCCTCCGAACTTCGGTTTCCCCCTCAGTGAAGCAAAGCCATGCTTCTCTATAGGGTGGCCATGAGGACTAAATGAGATCACATCCCTACATCCCTGGCACATAAGAGGTGCTCAGAGACCCTACCTTCCTCTCTTCCTGCCAAGCAGGCCCAGCCTAGCTAGAATCTTTCTGCTAAACACAGCGGCACAGCCAAGAAGCAGGGGGAGACTGGGGGGGGGGGATGTGGAGACCCAGAGCAGCCTGACTGGGCTATCTGAACAGGCCTACGCGAGCTGGGAGGAAACGGGGAGGTGCCGGACAACTAGCGTTACAGAGAGACTGGACTGTGGTCCCAGAGAGGTCATAGGTGTCCACCTTCGCTGAGGAGAAAACCCCTCCTGTAACAGAGGTGGGGCAGGAGCAGAGCTGAGGAAGGGGAAGGAAGACACACTTGGTCACAGATGCACCTCCCGTCAGATGCACAAATACAACAATGGCTCTTTTAGGGGAACAAGACAACTTATTCTGTTAGCCTCTGAGGATGACGGCCTTCTTTTCATAAGGTACACCTCCAAACCATACTGCTAGGAAGTACAGCGTACCAAGTAGAAAACCTGCCTCCCCACAAAAATCCTGCTCCTCCTGGGTTTCCCCGCACTGTCCTCTCAGACACCCGTGTTGAGCACCTCCTGGCACCACACACAGCCACTGCCGGGTGCTGCAGTGGCTCCTCCACTCCACCTTCCCTCCCATGCCCAGTGCCACAGACCACATGCGGGTCTCATCACCACTCCTGGGGCCCCTCGCAAGACAAGCCTTGTGACCCACCTCCCCACCAAAGGTCGCCTGTACACCGTCAGTGCCATGAAGTCCAAAGCTATCCCACTTGGGGTAAAAAGTATGCCATTAAAGAACTGTGAAGAGCAAAGATGAATGAAGTTTCCATGATGGTAAATTTCTACTCTCATAAAATAATGCAACTGGGGAAAAAACCAATACTGGAAACAGGTGGATCATCTGACTATAATAGGTTTCAAGTAATTGTGCCTGCAATAAAAGTTTGAAAGCATGGAAGGCTGCCCAGTGAATATTTGATTGAAAGATGGGCTCTGCCTGAGGACTACCCAGACCAGTTGGTAAAAATAAATCACAGGAGATTCATCTTTTGCAATCCCAGTGATAGGACTGGATTTCCACCATTTTGCTTCAACATGGACTCAATGTATTCAATGTATTTTTAGATGTAGGACAAAAACTTACTTCCCAAACAAAAGCCTATCTCCTACCTCACATGCATGAAGTACGTTCCCACCAAGGCAGAAAGCAATTATGTGAATGACAAAAAGTAATCTACCTCATTAATAATATAATTTTTAAAATGCTTTTCTAATTCATTAAAAACTTTTCTGAAGATGACAACATTTCAAAAGCTCACATCTTCTTCCAAAATAAGTAAAACCTTTAAAAAAATATTAGAGAAGAAATCCAAATGCAAAAAGTCTTAAAAAGAAAGGCCTGGGACTTCCCTGGCAGTCCAGTGGTTAAGACTCTGCCTTCCACTGCAGGGGGCGTGGGTTCAATCCCTGGCCAGGGAACTAAGGTCCCACCTGCTGCAGGGTGTGGCCAAAAATTAAAAAAAAAAAAAGAAAGAAAGAAAGGCCTGCAGGTGACCAAGACACAATGCACCCGAGACACTCCTGCTCACCATATATCCCTGCTCATGGAAGAAGCATGCTGGTTCTAAGCTGAGATAACGTCCCTATGATGTTCACCAGTTTTTCAAGAGCCTGCACTGAGAGAACAGGCTTCTTGCCTGAATCAAAAGAGTATCAGGCCCCCTCAGCAGGCCAGCCTCCTACCAAACCACAAGTGTGCAGGGCTGCACCTCCCTGGGCAGCTATGAAGCCTGACTCTTATCGGTAATGACTGTAGGCTGCCAGTTCCCGCCTCCTCAAAACCAGGACGTGTAAAACTACCTGCTTGGTAGGAATCAAACTACAAATACATCCCGCTTACCAGAGGTGAGAAGAAGCAAATGGACTTGTAATTTCACTATTTTTATCCATTAGCATCAGCATTCAGAACAGCCCTAGCCTGCTAGACCATAGTAAGCACTGCTCTCTTTGGGTTAGCTGTGCCCATCTATTATCAAATTAATTTAAAAGTATCCAGAAAGCCCTGCCCTGTTTCATGCAGGGCCGACAATTATAGACAGCTGGGCTGTTCCTTGCATGAAGTTCACTATCAGTCCACAAGATAGGCTTTATCTTCAGATTCATTAAAGAACCTGTTTGGTCACTGGCTTAGCCCTGTGCCCTCAATATGAAGTGGAAGATGTAGCCACTAATCTCAAGGTTCATAAAATTAAATGAAAAGGAATAAAATAGACCCAACAAAAGCCTGTACATGAACAAGAGAATGGCAAAAGTAATCACAGCTGTAAGAAAAGTTACTGCCAATCGCCAAAAACTGGGCAGACGAGTATTTGAGAGGGAAGCACCAGGAAGGAAATGGAGGGCTAGACTAGAAAGACTCCTGCAGGCACAGACTCTGGAGGAGGGAGGAGGCAGGGCCTCAGGGGCCTCACTCTGGAAACGAGGGACTCAGAGTAGCTGGGCTACAGGGTGTTTTCGAGGGAGGATGGCTTGGTGAGGTCACGAGCCAGCTCTGGCACTAATCAGACCTGGCTTTGAGGCCCAGTACCACTACTCACAAGCTGAGACCTCCTGGGCTAGTTACTTGACCTCTCTGTGTCTTAGTTCCCTCACTTATAAATGGGGAAAACAAGTGCCCACTCACAAAACATTTGTAAGGGTTACATGAAAATGCATGTAAAGAGCTCATCATCTTTCCATTATCCTTCTTGTCTAAACTCTGCCCATCAACTCTGTTTGGCACCATCTGGAGAGCATCTCTTGTTTTCTTCTCC